ATGCAACACAGGCCCACCTGCCCAGGGGTGGCAGCACCCACAGTGGGCTGGCCCCTCCCACATCACTCAACAAGATGATGCCCCTCAGACATGGCCACAGGCCAGTCCAATAGAGGCAATCCCCAACTGAGGCTCCCTCAACCCAGGTGTGTCAAGTTGACACTAAAGCTATCCAGCTCACATGCATTACCACACCTGCCTTATATTCCTTTTGTTTGTGCTTTCCTATTTCCTATCTGTATTTCTTTATTCCATTTCCCCCACTGTACTGATTTAAAAACTAATGTCTAATCAATCTATTTGTGTTCATGTTCCCTATTATTATTCTAGACTTAGTCCCTCAACCCAGGTGTGTCAAGTTGACACTAAAGCTATCCAGCTCACATGCATTACCACACCTGCCTTATATTCCTTTTGTTTGTGCTTTCCTATTTCCTATCTGTATTTCTTTATTCCATTTCCCCCACTGTACTGATTTAAAAACTAATGTCTAATCAATCTATTTGTGTTCATGTTCCCTATTATTATTCTAGACTTAGAGACAGCTGGTTAGCTGAGGAGGTAGCTCAGTGATAGAGTGCTTGCCTAGCATGCTTGAGGCCCTGGGTTCAATCCCTAGTATTACAAATGATGGATGGGAGATGGGGGAGAGAAAGAAAGCAGATTATTCTGTGCTCTCATAAATAAAACACCCAACTTTTGGCTAACCATACATGGTTACTGAGAATAAAGACATTTCCCAAACTTCTTTGGTGCTAGGTAACCATGTGACTAGGATACGGCCAATGGTATCTGAGCAGAAGGAACACATGCAATCTGTGCATCACACACTTAGAAGAGTGGAGTTGTGGACACCAGGGTGAACCATCTTCAAACACACAGAGCTGGACTGCTTCTATCTGGAAAGCTACACATGAAATACACAAGCATCTGTCTGGTTTAAGCCACTGATTTTTGTTTGTTTGTTTGCTTGTTTGTTTTTTGAGACAGGGTCTCACTATGTAGCCCTGGCTGACCTAAAACTCATTTTGCAGATCAGGCTGGCCTCAGACTCACAGAATGCTGGGATTAAAGGTGTGCCACAATGCCTGGCTGCTTTTTGTTATTGTTGTGTTTTTGTTGTTGTTGTTGTTGTTGTTGTTTTTATATAAATAGAAGTCTTCCCTCTGGGCCTGCTTCAGCCCACTCAGCTGAGTAGATCCCACTTATCCTTCCTTCTCTTATCCCTCTGAATACCATAACCTAAGGCAAGGTTCTCAAGCTTTATGGTAACGAAATCATTTTCTGGGATCTCATTAAACACAAGTTATTAACAACACCCCAAAGATTTAGAACAAAACATACTCTTAAACAAGCAGCACACCACGTGGTTCTGACCACACCGTCCTTAAACCACTGGCTAAGACCTACTATACTTTCCCTGAGGTAGGTGAGTTCCTACAATTTTACTGGCAGTAAAGGGCAATGCCAACAGACCCAGAGTTCAAGTCTAGTCTCGCCCAAGGCCATGCCTCAGCCATGGAAATGCAGAGGTGATGCAAGACTCGCCTTCTGGACTCCAAGTTGCAGGACCATCAGCAAGACAAGTCATTTATTCCATTCATTCCAGCTTTACTAATGACAGTACTTGAAGAGGGGGAAGAAGAACTTTGCCTTTGTACAAGGAAAGAAGTATGGATTAGCTAAGCAAATTGATATTGTAACCAAATCCTAGGCAGAATAGTTGAGTCACTCCTGTTTTGTGTATGCAAACAAATATATTTTAAGTGCAGGTCTTTACTCTCTGGTTTTTGGGGGGAGGGTGGGGGGGTCTTTTTGAGACAAGGTCTCCCTGTAGCCCTAGCTCCCAGCTGGCCTGAACTCACCATGTGGACCAGGCTGGCCTCAAACTCACAGAGATCTGCCTGCCTCTGCCTCCCGAGTTCTGGGATTAAAGGCGTGCACCACTACGCCACTACGCTCTCTACTCTCTAGACAGGTTATTACCATAAAATACCTCTGAGAGTCAGCTACTTGAATATATGCCTCCAATGTGGCCCAAAGTGGCCAGCTCCCCACACCAGGTAAAACAGTTCCAATTCAAGACCGATTTTGTTAGCTCACTTATATATAATTCCCAAAATAGTTCTGAGAGATACATATTGTATCCTGGCCTTACAGAAGGTTTTTGCCAAGGTCACAAAGCCAGGAAGGTACAGAGCTAGGCAGGTCTGACTCCAAAGTCTGCTGCAGCTCACTGAGTCATGAGCAGCACGGTGGAGATTTCCATTGTTCTCCTTAACAGCCCCGCCAGGGGGATAAAATGTCAGCAGTAGTAGTAGCTGTAACAGTGATGATGATGATGATGATGATGATGATGATGATGATAGAGCCACAGGTGACTTAGTGACAGAGGGCAAAAATGATTTTTTTTTTTTGAGATAGTCTTACTATGCAGCCCTGGAACTCTCTTTATATAGACCAGACTGGCCTCAAACTCACACGGAGACCTGCCTGCTTCCACCTCCTGAGTGCTGAGATTAAAACAGATTATATATCATTCTTTAGCATGGTATTTGAGGTGACAGAGGAGGGAGGAATGTCAGGTAAAAGCTTAGAAAATTGTTCAGAATTTGGTCTTAAAATCTAAAGAGCTTGGGGCTGGAGAGATGGGTGGCTCAGCACTTAAGAACAATGACTGTTCTTGCAGAAGAACTGGGTTCAAATCTCAGCACCCACATGGCAGCTAACAACTGTCTGTAACTCCAGTTCCAGAGGATCCAACAGCCTCTTCTGTCCTCTGCAGGCATTGCACAACACAGGTGCACTTAGTTACATGTAGGCAATATATGCATACACATAAAATAAAAATAATAAATAAATTTTAAATAAAAATCTAAAGAGCTGAGTCTGGATGTGGTGGCACATGCCTTTAGTCCCAGCACTAGGGAGGCAGGAGGTAGGTCTCTGTCGAGGCCAGCCTGATCTACATAGTGAGGTCCAGGCCAGCTGGGGCTACAGAGGAGACCCTGTCTCAAAAAGACCAAAACAAAACAAAACAAAAACAAACCCCCCAAAGAACAAAAAACCAAACCAAACCAAACCAAAACCCCAACCAACCAACTAAACAAACAACAAACTACAGAGCTACCTTGGCTTTTCATTTTGCATGAAAATATAACAGTCTTAATGAAAGTTCACTTTTCCCAACTCTCCTCTCCCAACTCTGAGATGGCTCCTGAGGTTGGGGAGCAACTCACCTTGTCAGCCAGCAGCTCCCTTATTTTGCTGGCCTGAAGGCGGAAGCGGAAGAGCTGCGTTTCCAGGGCCAGGCAGCGTTTCTGCCAGTCTACACTGCTCCGGACTTCCACCTTGACTTCAGCCATACTGGAATCAACGTCTGGATATTCCAGGGAGCTCTAAGTTCCAGCACACTGAGGGAGGAAAAGATAAGTGAGTGTGAAGAGAACATATGGGGGATGGGGGTCGGGGGTGGGAGGAAGAGACCAAAGGGCAGAGAAAACAGGGTGGGGGAGGGAGTTCCTGCTCTCTCTGTTGCACCCCCACCTTTCTCAGCCCAGTGTGTCCTGCTCTAGGACCTGGTTAGCTGAGCAATCTTGGGACAAAACCTAAGACTTAAGGAAGACCTTGTCTCTTTTATCTTGTGATTGTTTTCATATATTTTAATAAGTGATGTCCTTATAAAGCATTTCTTTTGGGCTTTAAACTTTTTAAAATTAGCATACCAAGTATTAGGCTTTTATAATAGAATTTTCAAGTAAAAACAGTTTTTGTTGATTCTCCTCCTCCATCGCCCTTCCCTCCTTGTCCCCCCTTCCACCCACAGAATCCTTTCCACTCTCATGTCATATATACTCTATTGCCCCCAACCCTTCTGTAACACCTCTTTTTCCCTCTCATGGTCCCCTTTTTAGTTTCATAACAAGTGTAGAAACTCTTTAATTGGGGAGATGTAAACAAACACCTCCCTTCTCCTTATAGGGAACCAAGGACAAACCAAAGTCAACTTGGGAACCAATGAGTTTATCAGGTTTACTTATGGAGCATGGGTGAAAGGATACTTGCAGGAATGTGGGTGTCCCCAAAGCAACAGCACCACCAAACAGCCTCACCCCAACATGGAAAACAACATCCCCATAGCTACATATGTGGAATCCTCCCACTTCATTAACCTTCCACAGTCTTGTCTACTCTAGTCTTGTCACTTCCTGATACCACAAGGCTATGTGAAATTGGGGCAAAATCACATGAAACTGGGCATGAGGTGCAGAAGGGAGTGGCTCGAATCTCAGGTAAGGGTCCAGTGATCCTCCACAACCTCTCCTCTATGGGAGAACTTCAATAGTCAACAAGTCTGCTCTCAGGGGTCTCTTGTAAGTAGTCACAGCTATTCTGATGAATGTGATGGGAGGACAGCACTCTCCAATGACAGTCTATACTCACACTCACACCCACATATATACATAACATATAGACATAAATATTAAAAGCTAAGATCTGAATATGAACTAGAACACGTGATATTTGTCTTCTAAGTCTGGGTCACCTGGCTTAATATGCAAATCTTCGGGTCCATCCATTTTTCTACAACTTTCATCATTTCATTCTCATTTATAACTTAATAAAACTTCATTCTGTATCCACTTATCTGCTGATGGACAAGATCTAGGCTGGTTCCATTTCCTTGGAATTGTGACTAGTGAGTGCATGGATAAACATGGATAGCAAGTCCCTCTGTGGTACGATATGGAGTCTTTTGGGAATATGCCCAGGAGGGTATAGCTGGGTCATATGGATGTTCTGTTTAATTTTTGAGAAACCTCCACACTGCTTCCATAATAGCTGTACTGGTTTACATTCCTACCAGCAGCAAATAAGAATGGATTCCTCTTTTCCCACATCCTCACCAGTATTTTTTGTCATCTCTTTTCTTGATAGTCATTCCAACTGGGGCAAGAAGTAAAAAGTAAGGTTCACTTGTTTTTCATTCAATTATCCACTCACCAACTATACGTCAGATACTATTCTAGGTCTGGAGTTGAGAAAGTAAAGAAGTCCCTGGTTCTGAGTTTTCCAAGGAACTTTAGGAAGGTATAACTGCAAAATTAAAACATACAATTGCCAACTGATGTGTGGAGAAATGGGAACAGGGAAATGGGCTGGTTATTGCAGTGGGGGTCCTGGTGTTTGGGAATGCTTAAAGTGAAAACAAATTCACCCAAGGTCACACAGCTAACTGGAGGCAGAGCTCTGGTTCTCCATTTAGTTCTGATTCTACTATACAATGTAGATTTTAGATGGGGGAAACAGACAGGAAATACACTTTGGATTTCCTTGATACTTTTCTGTTTAGCTGAGGTCTTTACCAATTGTCAACGACTGGCTCATCCTGACTAGAAACAGATTCTCATCCTCTCATCCCCTTTATGTCATAAGATGCAAGTCAGAAAACTAGATGCTTTCCTGCAGCCTCTGGAGAAAGCCACCTTTAATAACTCCAGCCAGGGAAACTTACCCAGATGTCTCCTGCATGTCATTTAGAAGGAAAAACTGGGTCAAGGGTGAGAAGAGGAAGCAGCAGGCATGAATGAATGTACCTGAGCTTGGAGAAAGAGGCACAGGGTGACCAGGAAGGAGAGAAAAGCTGGAAGGCATGATCAGCATCAGGGCTTATAAACCTCCCAGGGCACTGTCAGTAATTACCCTGAGCAGCAAGCATAAGTTAGGCCTGCTGCAAACCATGATATATGATCATCTGAGTACTAAATCATTTTAAGAAATGTCTGTTCACTTTTTTTAGCTGGATGGTATTCTTTAATGTCACCTGTTAGAGGTACATATGATTTGCAGGGGAAATAATAAAATACTCTATGGCAAGAGTGGGGAATAACATACACCAAATAAGATTTCTCAAAATAGTGACAATTAGTACGTGTGTGTGGCGCTGGGAATTGAACCCAGGGCATCACACATGCTAGGCAAGTGCCCTCTCTACCTCTCGGCTACACCCTAGCCCTAACTGTTAATGATTTTTGAAGCTAGGTAATAAGTTTATGAGCATTTGTTATAGTGGTCTTTCTACTTGAATACATGCTTGTAATTTACCATAAAATGTGTTGTTTTAAAATCTTCTTTTCCTTCTTCAGGAATCACATGGCCTCTGAAACCCAGCCACCTTCAGTCCTAGTGCCAAATATTACTTGGAAGCAATGGTGCCCTCTTTCATGGCTAGTCACTAACACTGTTCTTCCTCTCAAACTTGTCTTCCACTAGTAGCTTTCTCCCATTTTGCTTTACAAATAGCTATCACTTATTGAGTCGTTACTATATGCCAGGCATGTGTACATGTGCAGCCTCTTTAACAACCTAGAAACTATAGGAAGGCACTACTGCCCCACACAGGACACCAAGGAACAGAGAACCTGAGTAACTTCTACAGAAAGTTCCACAGATGATAAGGAATAGGGCTGGGATCCTGGTTCCAAATCCCCCTTCACCCATTCAAAAAATGGAAAAAGGCTGGTGGTGTAGGTCAGTGGTAGTACACTTGCTGAGCATGCTTGAGGCACTGGATTTGATCCTGGGTAGAAGGAGGAAGGGAGGGAAGGGCATCCTATTTCTGATTCTATTGAGTAAGATAAATTGTTAAGAGCAGAGAAGCATTCTAAAATACCTTTCAGAAGCCTTATCACTTATATAAACCTATAACCCAGATTTTCTAAGGCATCTGGGGCTCAGACATTCTGCCAGGACAAATCTCCAAGCTCAGACACCATGCCAGTAGACCCAGAGAAAAGGTCCAACAATTAAACCACTGATGGTTCTAGTGTCCGACTCTTTTGGTGCTGTGATCTTCAGAACACTGGACACATGATCTAAGCCCAGAAGTGTCATCCCAGACAATCAGAACATTGTGACCTCCCAGCCATTCCCACTTCAAAAGACTGGGACCAACTGGAACGAGCAGGAAGACAGAAGACAAAAACAAACCATGACCTTTTTTGAGCTAAGATCACTGCTGAAAAGACAAAGAGAACCTTGCAGGGCTGGGAGAAGGCAGAGGCTTTGTGTTGACTTTCTTTGTCCTTTGGGAAAATTTAGTTTTTCCTATAATCAGAAAAATGGGAGATCTGAGACTAGCCTAGGAGTCTTGCAACTTGCCCAGGGCTAAGAATTAAAGTACCTAAGTAAAACCCAGAGGCATGGGAAAGAAACTTTGGTGACTTGAGTTTGATTTTAAAATTTTAAATCCTCCTTAATGACTGTCCATACTGTTGCAGGGATTCTATGCGGACAGGAAATCCCAGATCAAAGTCTCCTAGAACTTTGGAAAGAAAATGCCTCTAGTCTCTGCCTGGCCCTGATATCTGAGATTACAGACTTCAATGAGTTCTTTTCTCCCAACAAGCATCTTCATGACATCATGGTTCTGGACTATCAAGTGGTCTGCTTAATCTTCTCTCTGCCTTAGGGATACTGACAAGTTCCTAAGGAGGCTGGGATTTGTGCTAGGCTTGCCTTGGCATGTAAAGGGCATTTAGAGGTTTGGAATCAGATCAGGAGCAAGGTGCCTACTGCCAAACTCAAGGCCTGGAGGCTGTCCAGGCTAAAGTAGGTGGTAGTCCCAACAGCTATAAAATGAGGGATGTTAAGGGAAGATGTTAGCAAGCTGAACTTTGCCTGCTAAGTGACCTTGTAATTGTACCTCCCCAAAAGATGTGCACGGATAAACAGAAATGAATACCTGCAATTTAAAGAATGGTTCACTCTTAATCTCAATCTCTCTCTCTCTCTCTCTCTCTCTGTCTCTCTGTCTCTCTGTCTCTGTGTGTGTGTGTCTGTGTATACATATGTGGAAGCCAGAGATCAACAATGATGTCTTCCTCAATCACTCTCTACCTTATTTTTTTGAGACAGGGTCTTTCACTAAACCTGAAGCTCACACATTGGCTAGACTCCCTGGCCAGCAAGTCCCTGGGCTTCTTTTATCCTAGAGACTTGCTGGTCTACCAGTCTAGCCCTGGTAGATGAGCCAGATGAGTGCCACGATCTTTACCAACTGCTTTGGAGCTCCCCAAATCCAGCAACCTGAAGTGCCATGGAGGCCCCCTGGGACATGCTACAGGGCAGGGGCTGAGAGTAGAGGAAGCTGTGGAAAAAAGAACAGGAAGCCCTTTGGTGACTTCAGACTCGGATTTATCAGAGAGAACACAGGCTGTACTTGGAATCTCTTGGGCAAGCTTGGGGGATTTGGCCAGAAATAGACAAAATGCCGAGATTAAATTAATTCAGCCAACTTTTGCTAAAGTGATTCCTATATGCAACAATGAAGATGTAAAGCTGAGTAAAGATCTTCTTCTGACTTATGAACCCTCAAGTCTGGTCACTGCAGACCCAGGCCAGCACAGTGCCTCAATGACATCATCAGAAGGTCATGGGGGCCAAGCATGGTAGTGTATACCTGTGATTCCAGCACTCTGAAGACTAAGGCAGAAGGGCCACCAGTGAGACCCTTGCCTAAAAAGAAAATACACACACCACACACACCACATACACACACACACACACACACACACGCACGCACACACACAGAGTAATGAAGCTTCTCACCAGGGTTCCTTTCCTGAATGTGAGGCCCTCAGGAGACTTCCACTTTTTATGAATGGGCTAAGCACCTAATCTGAAAGTGCTGTTCTTTGAAACGGCCAACTGCTGGAAAGAAGAGCCATGCACCTCCTCCAGGTAATACATCTGGAAGGAGAGGGTGAGCAGACAAGGTACAACTCAACTCCCTCAGATCTCAGCATGCCATTTGACAGAAGCCAGCAGCAAACATTCTGAAACCTCTGCTGGGTGTGAGCATCGAATTTCAAACAGTGTTAGAGGAGATAAAGGAAAGAGAGAGCTTGTCCTAGGCCTAGAGAACCTATATATCAAAAGGAGGGTTTTCCCTTAATAACAGAAACAGCCCAGGACTTAAAATCCCATGCCTTGAGGCCAAACAACCTGGGTACTGGCTCAGACACTAAATAATCCATTTGCTTAGCTTCCCTGGTCCTCAGTTCCACTTTGAAATTGAGGGCAATGCTATTTAGAAATGAGAGCGATAATATCGATATCAATATCAGTATGAATAATCTAAAGCTGTCAATATTTAATTATCTTTTGACCTTCAAAAACGGCAATTTTGGAGCTGGAGAGATGGCTTGCTCAGCAGTTAAGAGCACTGACTCTTGCAGAGGGCCTGGTTCCCAGCACTCACATGGTTGCTAGCAATCACCCCCCATCCCCACCACCCTGTGATCCCACATCTTCTGGCCTCCACAGGCATTGCATGACATGGATGCACTTACACACAGGCAAAATACGCATATACATCAAATAAAAATAAATACCGCCCCCCCCAAAAAAAAGCAATTTCAAGCCAGGCACGACACCTGTAATCCCAGGACTCAGGAGGCTGAGGAAGGAGGATAGCCTCAAATTCCAAGACAGCCTGTGCTATATAAAGTGAGATACAGTCTCAACAAACAAAGGGGATTTCAGCTGGGTGTGGCACTACATGTCCTGTAATCCTAGCACTTGAAAGCTAGAGGCAGGAAGAGACCAGTTCTAGGACAGAGTGAGAACTTTCAAAAAAAAAAAAAAAGGAAATCTCAGCACTGTGTATGCATCTATAATAGAATCAGAGGAAGACATTACACAAAATTTCCTTGAAAATTAAAGGAGCTATTAAAAATCTGACCCCCTATTAGGTACATAAGTACTCAATATCTAACAGCTAATACTACTGGCAACAAACAAAACACAAACCATCAGTGCCCTGGGCATATGAGGATATGTGGTTCATGGCTATGCTCACTGCCAGCTCACAGTGAAGAGGTCATATGATTTTAATAATTACATTGTCTATTATCTTTCAGGATTAAACGAGAGGGTGTAAGGCACAAAGTAAGGCTCCTTCCTATGCCTTCAGCAGTAGTTCTCCTCAAAGGCAACCACTGCTGGGGGTTTTGTGTTTTTTCAGAGTTATCCAGGGCATATGCATTCAAATACAAGCTTAATACACACACAATTATGCAAACTATATATAGGTGTGTGTATATATATATACACATATATAGTGTATATATAGCCATCCCTCCAGCTGAATACACTATATGCACTGTACTTAACAACAGAACTCAGAGCTCTTCCTTTTACCACACATCCTTACTGTGTTTCCCTCCATGCTTTTCAGAGCTTTAATGCTTTCTATTGTGTGACTATTATATGGTCGTACTTAAGGAACCCTTACTGATGGAGATTTGAGTTGTTTCCAAACTTCTGTTAAAATAATACTGCAATGAATATTCAATGAATATCCATCATTTCATATATATCAGAGTATATCTGAAGGACAGCCCTGGAAATGGAATCAGAGGGTTAGGTGACATTATAAAGTACCCTCCACTGAGGCTCTCCTAATGCATATTTCAACCAGCAGTTAAGTGCTCAAATCAGACTTCAGTTTTGCGGTTTTTTTCACAGGGTCTTATTATGTAGCCCAGGCTGGTCTGGAACTTGCCATATAGGAGGCTTGCTTTGAATCAGTAGGCCTCCTTCCTTATACTCCTAAGTACTAGGATTGCAGGTATGGGCCACTATGTCAGGCTACATCAGTTTTGAACCAGATTTTGATAGAGGGCAAGTTGGGTCATTTGGTGTGCCCAGGCAATGCAGGATGGTGGCTCAGCACCAGTCTTCTCTGAAGTTTCCAAAACAGGAGTGGGGAATCCCTGTACTTTAAGACCTGCATGTATAAAGCATTCTCCAACCTCTAAGGAACATAGTTCAATACAATTACACAGCTTTGTAGAGACAAGGAGAATACTAAAGAGGTATGTGTTGGACATGATGACATGCCTATAATGTCTGCTCTAAGAAGGCTGAGGCAGGAGGATTGGGATACCAGTTGTGAGACTGCCGAAAGACAGAAAGAGAAAGAAAGACAAAGTGAGAGAGGGAAGGAAGGAAGGAAGGAAGGAAGGAAGGAAGGAAGGAAGGAAGGAGTTTCTGTGCATGGGGGGCAGAAAGGAGGGAGGGAGGGAGGAAGGAAGGAAGGAAAGAAGAAAAAAGAGAGAAAGAAAGAAAAGAAAGACAGACAAATAGACCCTGGGGAGTGGAACCAGAGGAACACTCTCCTTTCCTATAGATGGTGACTTCCAAAGAGAGCAGAAGGGGCACCACAGGTTTTTGTTGTTAACTGTTCATTTCCATGAGTTTCCATGGATTCTGGGTGAACAGAATCACAACCCAGCTCTGAGTAGATCCCTTGAGCAAGTCGGGGAGGGCAAGGGACAACATTACATTTGGAATCTGGAAGGCTTAGGTTTGGGATTTGCCTCTATGTGACCTTTTTCAGTTCTATAACCTTGGGCAGGTCGCAATTTTTGAGTACTGATTTCCTCCTTTGCAGAGAAACATGAATAGTCAGCCGGTCTACAGCATTAAGTGGTGTACTACCAGCACTATGGTGTCTGACACGTAAAAGATCTGGTGCCAATGAATTGACAACTCTCTACTGAAGTTATTTCAACGACTTTTCACACGTTTTCCTGGAACCCAGGATCTGTTGGTAAGTTTTAAGAAATAGAGTCATAGCAGAAGTTCTTGGAGGCGATATCCTGACAGGGAGGAAGTATCCTGACCGGGAGCAATCCAACAGGGAGAGGGTCTTCACTCCCTCCGCCACCCCTATGGGGGATGCGTTCCTAAGCCTGCTAGGACACAAAGCCCCGATGCCATTCGGCGCCCAACCTGTGCTCTTTGCTGCTGGCAGGCACGTAACTAAGAGTCCAGCCTGACCCACAAGGACGCCAGGAAACATCCAGAATGCACATTAGAAGCGGCCTATGACGAGGTGCGGAGGGGAGCAGGAGGAGTGAGCGCGGGAGCAACCGTGGTGGAAGACCGCACGTACGTCCAGGGAGCCCTTCCCGGGAGCAACTGGATTAAGCCGGTCCCCAACGGCAGGACCTACCCCGGGAAGGCAAGCCCTGGCCTCCCGGTGTGGGTGTCCAGCAGCGCCCGATTCCCCGCGCGCGGCCCGCGACTCCTAGGTAGGGAGGCACCTGCTCCGGTGTAGTCTCCCAGCCGCGAGGAGCCAGTCCCGGAGCCCAGCCGAACGCTCTCGCCCGCCGGGCCACACCGGCCCGGCTCGCTCACCTGCCGCGAGCTACGGGCGTCTCCGCCTCGCCCCCGGCATTCGCGCGTCCCCCGCCGACCTAGCGTGGCTCCCGCTGCAGCGGGTCCCAAGCGGCCGCCCGGTCTCCGCTCCCCCGCAGTAGGGGTCGCGGTGGGAGGGCAGCCGGCTGGCTCCGCACAAAGCCGGGCACGCTGCGCCCAGTGCCGGCCGCTCCCGCTGCACCGCCGCGCCCACTCCCTCCGCCCCGCGCGCCGTGCGGCGCTCTGCGGACCGATCGCAGCCAGGCACAGGAAATGACCTCAGCAGGCTCCAGCCTCCCACCGCTGCAAACCGCGGGCGCGCTCCGGCCGCTCAGAGGGATGCGGGTCCGGGGCCGTGTGGTCAGCGGCTTCCAGCCTGCGTGCCAGCTGCCACCGGGATCTCCTAGGCCCGGGAAAGCGTGGGACTCTGGCAGGATGGGGACAAGACTAGACCCTCCCCCTGAAGGAGGTTCCAGCATTTGTCTAGCCACCTGTAAGAAAGTACCGCCCGCTTATTTGGAGCAGTCTGTACCGCTGATTTGTAGTTTGGAGGGGAAAGAAGCGGGGGGAGGGGTCACCATAGCTCACAGGATAACTCGCTTGCGTATGTATGTATGTATGTAAACTTATCTTAAAGGCGAAGGCCAGGGAGTCCGAAAGATAAGCAGGACACTCATCAAAGAGCCCTTGTTCCTCAGGCATTTGCAGTTCCTCTAACCAGTTCCCATAATCGCACTTCTAAGAGGCCCTTGGACACCTTGTTTGGTTAGAGGATGTGGAGTAAAGAAGATAGATGCATGTGAACGATAGCTAGGCAGACCCTACTTTTGAAAACTGCTTTTTTGGCTGGGGTGTACGAGGTCCTGGGTTCGATTCCCCAGCACCAAAAACAAACAGACAAACAAAAAACAGAGCTGTCTTCCCTAATCCTGCAAACTCAGTCAAGACCTGAACAGAAACAAAACGAAACACCATCCATCAGGGCCTGTTTCTCCGAGTGGGTGTTGGAGGATTCATGCCTGGCACTCACTAAGTCCCTGGCCCCACCCTAGGTTTGAATCTGAATCTGAGGGTAGGGGTGGGGCTGACAACCTCCCCAGGCGATTCTCACACACAATTTTGAAAGCCCAAGTGCTAAAGAAAGCAATTAAACCGGCATGGTAGGACTCCAAAGGCTGAATTTGCAAATGGCTTTATAGGCAAGTCCTTTGGGTTTGGGGAAGGGAAGGCTCATCCACTCATTTTGAATAAGGGATAATTATGTGCATGATATAAATCTCAAATACAGAAAACTAACAATGAAAACAAAGTTTTTCTTCCATTCTGCCCCTTGGCCCAGATCACCCCAACCCAAATGCAACTATTGTCATAACTTTTTATGTGTAGCCTTTCAAGATACTTTATGTAATATGTATATGCATTGGTCTATATGCATGTATATGTATTTATAATCACCCACACTAAGAAACCCTTGCTTTTTGTTTCCCTCTTGACATTATCATTTGATGACTTTTTTTGAGACAAGGTGGTCTCTCACTATGTATCCCTGGCAGGCCTAGAACTCACTATATAGACCAGACTGGCCTCCAACTCTTACAGACCTTCCTGTCTCTGCTTCCTGAGTGCTGGGATCAAAGGTGTGCACCACCACACCTGGCCTCATTTGTTAGACTCTTGAGAGGTATTAGTGTGTTTACAGCTGCCTTGCTTTTAAAAAACAATTTCCTAATACTTATAATGATGACCATTTTCAAACTGTTAACATTAGCTTGTTGTTCCAAGTGACCCCACAGTAAAGGATGGAGCAGAGAGATGGGAAGAATGTTACCATGTGCCTTGGTTTCAAGGATCCCTTGGGGCAATCTTGGGGAACAAGGATGAAATCTGGTCTGAACCAATATGGCCCTTAGGTAATGGTCAAGTTCTTATATTAGCAGCTGTGGAACATGAGCAAAGGCCACTTGTCTGCACCTGCAAATTCCTATAGGTGAAATATTAAAAATGCCTAAGGCCAGGGGCTAGAGAGATGGCTCAACATTTAAGAGCACTGGCTGATTTTGCAGAATCCACATGGCAGCTAACTGCTGTTCGTAACTCCAGTTCTAAGGAATCCAACACTCTCTTCTGACCTCCATAGGCATTGCACTCATAGGTCTGCTTTAAATACATGTAGGTGAAACATTCATGCAATAAGAAGTTAAAAAAAAAATGGCTAGAGTCAAACCAGCCAAGTATACATCTATTGGCAAACAGACACAAAATGGTCACCTAACCTACTTTAAGGTATGCAGGCAGCTGGCCTGGTCTGATTCTTAAACTTCATTCGTGCAAGGACTCATACAATCTTCTTGACTGACTCCGTATTGAGAAAAGCACTTATTTCACCAAGGAAAGATTATTTCTAGTATCTCTCAAGCACATTAAGCCCTCGGGTATAGATTTTGATGGACTTTGAAGTGCTTGTGTAACCAAGCTCTGGAGTGCAGATTGCTGATTGCACCACTTCGGATGCTAACCCCTTCTCTAAGGGTAGAGGAGGAGTCCATTTATATACACACACCACGAGGTTGAAGCTGGAATGTTGAAAAGAATAAACTCATACAGAGTTACTAACAGCATCTTTGTCTAGGCCTGGCTTCCTGGCAGCACTTCAGGAAAGAAGGGGAACCTGGGGACTGGAGAGACATCAATTCAAGTCTCTATCACTTTGGAGGTGGTGTGACCTTCCAGAAGTTGCTTAAATTCTGTGAGTCAATTCATTTGTAAAGTAGTGATAGTAATAATTCTTTAGAAAGAATTGAATGGGGGTTGGAGAGATGGCTCAGTGATGAAAAGGATATGCTGATCTTGCAGAGGACCTGGGTTTGGTTCTAAGCACTTACGTGGAGGCTCACAATGACCTATAACTCCAGGGGATACAATGCCCTCTTCTGGCCACTGAGGGTACCAGGAGTGCACATGGTACACATACATACATGCAGGTAAAACACTGCACACATAAAATTTTTGAAAATGTATCTTTAAAAAAAATTATCTCTGTGAGTTCAAGGCCAGCCTGATCTACACAGTGAGTTCCAGTCAGGGCTATATAGTGAGACCCTGTTTAGAAAGAAAGGAGAGAGAGAGAGAGAGAGAGAGAGAGAGAGAGAGAGAGAGAGAGAGAGAGAGAGAGAGAGAGGAAATGAAGAGAGAGAGAGAGAGAGAGAGAGAGAGAGAGAGAGAGAGAAAGGAATTGAATGGATAATGTAGTGTTTGACATTTAACAGGTGACCTATATACATGGTAGCTTTTGTTACTCAATCTTTCAACAAATATTTTCTGTAGGTCAAATGTTTACCAGATACTCTATGGTGGGAGAATATAAAAATGGCCAAGGCCTGATATCTGTTCTTAAGGACCCCCTCCCCATTTGTTACAAGATTGTAATTCCTCTCCCTGTGTGGAAGAACAGGAATAACTTTCGAACTGCAGACTGTTTGATATCTTCTTCCCTTGAGAACCTGCCTACTGTGTCTGAGCAGGGCTCTGGGCTGCAAAGATGCCCCTTCTGTTTCACTAAGACCTCCCCAAGTCAAAGCAGACTTGCTTCTGCCTACCTCTTTTAAAAGAAAACAAAAGGAGAAGAAAAAAGAGAAGGAGAGGAAAAAGGAGAGGGAGAAGAACCCAGACTTCTAGGAATAGGGGACTGGGACCTCAGAGCCAGGAGTAGAGCATGGTAGTCCTTTGGATTCAGAGGTCAAGAGGTTATTTACCGCTTAATCATTGGGCACAGCTGGAGTAATCATGGGTTAAGTTGGAGATTCTTGAAGCCAGCTTCCAAGTTGGGCTAGAAGGGCAGTGATTGGACATGCAGAGAAGTACAGGATAGAAAGAAAATGAGATGGCCCTGAGGCAGAATCTTGACAGGTGGGAGAAGAGAGGATGAATGACTTGAGGGAGAGGTGGGGAACGGTGTGCTAACTTTCAGTATCCTGTCCAAGTTTCTCACTAATACATAGTAATACATAGTTATTGAGCACTTTATATTTTCCAGGCATTGTGCTAAGAAGACAGATATGACCCAATGAACTCTGGGCAGACTGTAGAGCTCCACATGCCTGCCCTGGACTCTTGGCTGTTCCCAGAGGGGCACACAGGGTATAATCACTTCAGGGACCACTTATATAACTGCACATGCTCTGTGGAGAAGGAGCCAGATGGGATGGGGAAGGCAGGGCTTTTCCTCTGTAGAACAGGAATCTGAGTTCTTTCCTAAAACAGTGTTTAAAAAGGTGGAGATCAAAGACCTGCTCTAGTGTCTGGCATATTATAGGTACCTAGGAACTGTTATTAAATGTGGAGGGATCCTGAAGGAATGAAGGTGTAAAGGAGACTAGTGTGGTGCCCAACAGTAACAAGAGCAGAAATGAAGGAGAGTCTGGTCAAGAAAGATTCCAGTGAGTGGGTAGACACAGTCTCAGTCTAACCTCCTATTATAACATCCTGAGGGCACTAATTAAAAGCATAGATTTCAGGTCCCACTCCTGGCCTTATGGATCAGTAGGTCCTGGGGTGTGGAATGCTGTGTTTTCTCTCCCTTAAGACCTATGGGATATCTGTATTGACTGGTAGGCCATATATCATATTCTGACACTTCTGTGATCGTCTCAAAGAACAGAAGCCCCTGAGGGGGAACACAGGGTGGAACGGATGTAATTACAACATTATGTCAATCAAAATGATCTGTCCAGGGCAGCTATGGGCAAGAATGAATCAGACAGGAGCAGCTCAGTGGGATGAAGACAGGAGAAGGAGGGGGAAAGGGAAGCTGAGTTAAGGCCTGTAGCACTCAGCAGATGAGGACCAGGTACATCCAGCCAGCTCCCTAGAATTCTACATCACGGTTTTATACCATCATATTTCTCCATCAGTTTTCATCAGTGACGGAAACAGAGCTGCTCATATCAACTGAGGGAGGATGAGCTGGGCAGGGTCCAGTTCCAAACAGGTGGCAAGTTTTCCGTAATCTGAGAGGCCAGTGTGGGGCAAGGCTGTGGGGCTCTAAGAAGTCCAAGAAACCCAAGCCAGTCACAGAGCTAGCCATGGCCTTTGGCTCCTTTTCTGTGGTAA